AAATAGAAGAGGTAGGATTATTCTGTGGATTTCATCTCCTAATATTACAATGAGGAATTGTAATTCATTGAACAAGGCACAGATTTTGCCCCTGCTACAATCAAGTATTAACTGTTCAGTTGGGTTGGAAAATGGCATATTTTGATTTGGTTTTAATGCTTGGAAGAGCTTAAAAGAGACAAAGGATGGTAGATTTCAGCTGAACTGCAGGAAGCATGCAGCTATATAGGAGAGAGTACAGCTGACCTGATTGTAGCAGGGATTAGCAGACTCCCTGACTCCCTGCTGTCTTGTAGTGTAATGGGGTGCAGTCCATTCACTGCCACAGGTGAAAATACTGTTCTTGTTTGTATTATTAAAACTTAATTTCTTTGGAACACATTGCTGAAGTATGTGGAAATAAAAAAACCAAATAAACCAAATAAAACAAAAATTAAAAAAGAAACTTCATTTAAACACTGTTTACTTTGTGGAGGAATTAATTTACAGAGGTTGAATAGGGTGACAGGATTAAGGATGTGATCAAGTTCCCAGGATTAAGGATGTGATCAAGTTCCCCATTGCCTTATTGATATTTACCCCTATTTCACTTGCAATGAAAAAGCCAGAATCTCTAAGTGAGTATCTTGTTAGCACCTCTCTCAGGATTCATTCAGTTTTTATGTCATCATATCTTCCAAATCAGAGAATCATAGGCAAACTGCTTCCCTCAAACTGTCACTTAAGGAAGGATTTACTGTTTTGTTGCTTCCAGCAGGACCTTGTCAACTGCAATATTATTTCTGTTCCAGGTAGGTATGTGACACAATCCCATCTGTTCTGGGTCTGTAATGTATCTAATTGGAAAAAAAAATTGTGTTCCACGTTAGAGTGACCAACTATCTTTTCAGTGTATCATCATTTAATTCATCAGCAGACTGATTTTCAGCAGGAATGTCAGCGTTAATTTAAGGAACCCACCTGTTTCTATTGCCTGTGAAATATTTTAATCAGAGCTGACTGAAAATATTTAACACAATTTCTCATTTGAAACTCATCCTTGCACTACAGCTAAAACATTTTGGAAATAATTTTTGTTTCAATATGCAGGGAGACTTGCTTCAGAATCAAAATTTTCAAGACAGATAAATCTGCAGTTTGAATTTTAGCACTGTACTTGCATTTTTTGTCACAATTCTATTTTGCCAAAATGTTTTTGTATCAATGCAGGACAGAAATTCCAGGAACTGTCTTCTAATTCTGTACTGTTACCCCTTGGTGCTAATTTTGACTGGCTACTTCCCTTCCAAGAATATTTAATATTTCATGCTTTTCAACTCTGATTAAGATTTGTATTGCTGTACTGTTTAAAAGCAGCATGTTAACATAAACATGAGCAGAAGATCTCAGCCTTAGCTTTCATGTCTTTCTAAAAATGACATGAAAATTAACAGCAGATGTTTGTCTTTCTCTGGCTTTCAAAATTTACATCCCAAATTTGTACTCCTGCTTAATGACTTAAGATAATAAATCACATAATACCGATCAGTGGAAGCAAATTCTGTATGCAGCTTCATGATATTTCTTCTCCTAGAGTTTATTCTATTTATATCTTTATATGTCAAAAGAACAGAAATATATGATATATATATATATATATATATATATATAAATAATTTTGTCATTTCCCAATTTACATATATTTGAGTAATCAATCTCTTTTGTTTTTGCAGTGCCTGGGCATTGTTTTCCCCACTTCTGCAACCACATCCTTTTCAGTCTTTCACAAACATTCACTTTCCTCCAAATTACAGAGAAGAAAGTATTCTCCTAACCAGCATTTCTCATGTTTAGGTCCAAATAAACTTTAGATCTTTTTGGACTTTCCTTTCCCATCCCTGTCTGGATCCCTGCTAAGATCCTGTTCTTCTTGCAGTGTAATGCCTGCGGTCCAGGTATCTTGGCTCCCACAGATGTCAGTGGGATTTTCAGCACTGCAAAAGAAGGACCTTTACCCATGTTTTACATTTTATTTGGAAATTCTTCTTCCCCAAGCTGATGTGACTGACCTGTGTGGTCAGGCTTTGTGAACCCCACGCTGCTGTCACTATCCTCTTGAGCACAATGACACTACTGAAAAAAAAATAAATCAGGAAATAAGAATTCAATTAAACTGTGCCATTAATTTGCACTACTTTTCACTACTGCCATTTACAAGTTAGGTCACACTGCTGTCCTGACACAAGTCATGGTGTAAGAATGACTTCTCCTTGGTACTTAGGCTTACTATCAATAATACCCTTCAAAAGCACAAAGAAAAGCTGATTTCTTACCTGGAAAAAATGTATTTAATTTCACTTTAAAACTCAGATGCATGATTAGGTCCTTTGCTAAAATTATAATGAAAAAATAATTAAATAATTTGTGCCAAAACAGATCCTAAAGCTCTTTTTAGAAAGAGAAAAAAAATGATATATTTTCTTGATTTTCTGCAATTCCTGATCCAGCTACAGGTAGAAGTGAAAATGCAAAAAGGACATGGAGCTGACCTTCTCCTTGCAGTTGTGATTCCTCATTGAAGAATGATGAAAATCAGAAACTGTTGAAAAGCTTTGGATAAACGTAAGACTCTCACTGCTGAGAAGGCTAAATTTTGGAATTTTTTGACAATTCAGATTATTTTAAGGCCACGAGCCTTTCTCAAATATTTTCCAAATGTTGAATATACCATATCTTAGCTATTTGGACTATATATATATATATATGGCTTGATCAAGTAGAAAAATTGTTATTAAAATGAAATAAGTTAAAAAATGCTATCAGAAAGATACGGAAATAATTCTTGTCTTATAGATAACAAAAGTAATTTTGAAACAGATGCAACCAAGGTATTTTTCTATAAATTTGAATTGCTTTTAGCTTCTACCGTCAATGTCTTTAGTGGTAGTTAGGCTTTTTCATTTTTAAATTCTGGAATTCACAGCCTATCAATCTGAAAGATATCTTATACTGCTGTTAGTATTGTATGAGCATATGTGTAGGAACTCCCAAAAATTGTCAGTCAATTGTAGAACAGAGCAGAAAACAAAATACATGTCTGTCCCTAGTTAAAAATGTGTGGCAGAAATAGAATAGGATATGATGGGCCTAATCAGGCAAGAAATAGTGTTTGAATATATTACCAATTCTATGAGTGGTAGTTGGGATTGGAATAATGCTCTTCAAGCTCTGTAAACACCCACATGACTAATCAGAGACATTAATTCATCTCTGCAATTAAGGATCCCTATTCTCCTTCTAATCTCTGTGTATTTTAGATGTATTATTTTATACACATTATGGGGTCCTTAAACTAGAAGTGAGGCTCTTCAGATAGATTTTCTATATAACATTGCTAATCCTGTACTTTAGAGGCCAGTACAAGCTTTTAGCTTCAGCAAAAAATAAAACAAAACACTAACCTCTAACTGCTTAATTTTCATTTTGTTTGTTTTTTTCCTTGCTATTGCTAAATGCATTGGGTTTTAGTAATATGTACAGGGAGTAGTGAATGGGGAAGCTAACATAACACATTGATGGAGTAGAAAAAAGAATGTGCTGGCTAAAGAGCAGAGGGGATCTGCTAATTACTTAGGAGAATATAAACTTTCCTCTGATGACAGACATTTTTCTCTGCTAGATGTACAACTGCATGTGCAATGCTCTCATGGTTCTGATTGCAGTAGGCATTTAGATTTCACTTATGACATTATTTCTGGCTGGTTTGGTTTATCAGTTTTACAGTCTGCCAAACTAAACTGTAAAAAGGGGGTCTTTTAAGACATAATTGACATTATAATAGGAGAGCTATGCCTTTTTGGGAAAAACAATGTTTTTTGCTCATGCAGCCTTTTACTACAATCCTGTAAAATGTAAACAGAATGTAACTGTTCAAATTAAATTTCAGTCAGAAAGGTCTAATTCTGAATCTGCCCTCTGATTTGAGTACTTTCCTTTTTCCATTATGTACAATGTACCCAGCTACTAAGGCAAATCTTTCACGTTGCCTTATGAAGAACTCCCCATTAAGTGTTTATCAAAGCATTGTATCAGTATAACAAATGATCAGTATATAAATAGCGTTGCTCCACTGAAATAATGAAGTGATGTAAATTAGCATTACCTGAGAACTAACAATCAGTGAAACTATGTAAATGAAATCCAGTTCTGGGTATGTCTGATCCCTGGAATATTTTTGCCTTTGACTAAATAGTATTATATCAGTGGTCATAATTTGTCTCCATTCTGGAAACTGATGAATTTTACTGGGCTCAGTTATGTAGTTTATTTAAAACTGTAGCTGCCCAAAAGTGCTAGATTTTGCTTATGGAACCAAGAATAAAATTTCTGGTGGGTGAGTGGTGAGTTGCCTAACTTCATAGATTTCACCTTAAATTTTTGCTCTGAATTTGATCCCATGAACTTAGAAAATGAAGAATGAATGACTTTGAGTACAACTCCAAAAGGAACTTGATCAGCTCAGGTTTCCTTCAAAAGAAAAGTTCTAATTAAATTTCCTTGAACCTAGCTAATGTTTAGATTGGTTAAAAAAATTAAAAAAGCTCTTCTTGGTAAGAAAGTATGGTTTTCTATTTCCTTTTTCTCTTTTTATATAAATCTCTCATTGCTCAAAATTTGAACTTCATTCAAACCAGACAGTTTTAGATCCTTAAAAATATTTACTTAACATTATTTTGAAGTTATATGGTACATTGGTAGGATTATGTTGTCTTGTTGTCTTCTTTCATTCTCAGGTATCTTTTAACTTTGGGGTTTACTTTGTTTTGGCTTGGTTTTTGTTTTGGTTAGTTTGTTTGTACCAATTTTTTTTAATCCCCTGGAGGGAAATAATTTTACTTGTCAGCATTATACAACGCAATATCATGACAGTGTTTGTGTTACAATTTTAAGACTGTCAAATGATGGGTTTGAAAAACAGTAATTTTTTTCCTTACTAGGACTTTTATGTTTTTAATTACAGAGGAGAAGTTCAACATTGTCAAGTTTCTGGCTATTTCTCAAAGATCTAACTCCTAAAATCTCTCTTGAAAGAAACTCAACATTTGCATAAAGTTAGCATTAAGTTATGCATATTCATCATGGTGTGGAGAAAAACTGAGAAAGATAAATCTAAAAGACTGAAGCAAAAACTTTCCTACAAATTCAGAAATACTTGACTTTGAAACACTTACCTGTAGGTTATGCTACCGGGTAAACCCTGAAGGCACAAGTTTTATTTTACTCTGCTTTTTATTGCAGAAGGAACACAAGTGCGAGTAACTTACAGGCACGGTAGGTGTCATCCAGAGCAGGGAGCCACATGAAACCATGTCTAGAATAAGTGGGACTTGGGGGTGTATATCTCTATGTTTTCATACAAGTGTCAAAGCTTTCAGTGGAGTCTGCAGTGATCCTTGGTGCATATCTAGCTCAGGACAGTGCTGGGTTCCATCTTTTCTCGTGCAGAGAGAGTCAGCCTTGCCCATGTGCACCAGCAGAAGCGATGTCTTGGAAACTTCATTTCTATGTTTTCTACCACTGCACTGCACTTTAGATTGTATGATGTTAAGCCATTTGTGTTAAGGACTTGTCCACACTTATTTCTGAGCATAGTGAAAGCACTTGGTTTCCTATGCTAATGGTTTGTTTGGTTTGGTTTGGTTATATTCTAGGCTTTTATAAGCACTTCTACAACCACTACAAGCAGAGTGCAAGGCAAAGGTAATTATCATACAGGCATTGCGGTATCTTGCCCATATTAACTTTCATTTTAGCAAATTCTTCAAGAATATTTGAGGTGCCTGAACCTGTATTAAATCTGTAGTTATCTTCAGTGAACTCCTGGATGACTCTGCCAAAGTTCAGTCTCATCTCCCTATGCAGCTTTTTTTCTTATTTCACCATGGTACTATCACTTATTCCACATAGTATCCATTGCAAGTATCTGTTCAAATATGTCAGATACTATGGGATTCTGCAGTGCCTTATGTAAATATCAGTAAGTTACAGTGTTGTCATTATTATTATTTTTTATTTTAGGTAGCGATTCCTTATGGTGTAGCAGAAGAGTTTGTTAGTGAATCGCTGGAGTACATCACCTTTGGAGATAAGATTTTTGGGATGTCTCACCCATGAAATTCTGATTCAATTTGGCTGTGTGTAAATGACTTCCAAAGACTTCAGCCAAGTCTGTCTGGACTCAGCCTGCTCTTTTCACTGTTTTCATAGATCTTGGACATCAAATGAGAAAGAGACAGTGGGTTGTCTTAAAGCTAAAATGGCACCAGTAAAATATGAAAAGAAGAACACACAACTGAAGTGTAGGGGTAACAGCACAATATGGTTTTCTCTGCTTATGAGCCTTGAGCTGAGCTCAGTTTGATGTCTGTGTAGTCTTTATCCTCTCTCCAGCTTTCTGTTTTCATGACCTTGCTAAGGAATTTTCTAAGACCTCTACTCCTTCACAAAAATTGGCCAGCAATTTCAAAAGTTATTAGTGGGGGAGAGGAAGGACATAAAACCAGAATGTACTATCACAGAGACATCATTTCCTTGGATACCATGCTAGCAAAATAGAGTAAAATATTTATACACAGCAGCTGTTAATGATGAGCATTAAATGCAAGTATAAGAAAGGGAATAGATTTGCTGAAAGAGGAAGAATTAATATTTTCCTCTAAGAGAAATGTAGTTATTGCAAGCCTGAAGTAAAAGCTTTTGTGGGCCTTATTTTGTGGGCTCTAAGAAATTTACGTTATGATTTTAACATAATCTTGAAGGTCACAAATAATTATGCTTATTTAATGTTTATGAATAAAACAATAATTTGTTTCATTGCCATCTTGATCACATGCTTTTCATACTTTCAGTGAGTGTTTTGTGTCTTTGGTTTCTTTGGAAAAGTCAAGGATATTTGCAAGAAGAAAAAAAAGAAATCTGTCATAATGTAAAGCACACACTGGGCTTTGGGAAGGCTGCAGTGATAAAAAAATTGTATTTCTTTCCAGAGCCTGTGAATGGCTCTGCAATAGCCAGTATGGGATGTAAAGTGCAGCAACATAGGAAAAGGATACACAGTAATTCCACACTGCTGAATGAATCCAGAGGACAAGTGTTTTGACTGGATGCCTGTAAAATCAAACTGGGGGCTATTAAAAGGTGTTTCAAGGGCAATGCAATCACCAGGCATAGTCATTGTGGGTTCATAAAGGGAAAGTCCTGCCTAATTAATTTGATACCCATCTAGAATATGGTTACTTGCCTAGTGGATGAAAGGAAGGTGGTGGGTGAGGTTTCTCTTGGTTTTAGTAATATTTAGTAAGATTTCAGTAAGGTTTTTTGATGCTGTCCCTCAAGGTGTTCTTCTGGACAAGCTGTTGTGTTGATCAGGTAAGGTACACAGTGTGCTGTATGAAGAACTGGCTGAATGTCAGAACTTCAGGGGTTTTAATGTGTGGGGCTGCATCTGCCTGGTGAGCAATCACCTGTGGTGTTCCTCAGAATTCATTGTAGGACCAGTTCTGGGTAACAAGTTTATCAATGATCTGGATGCAGGATGTGAATGCACCATTTGGTGACAACACTGAACTAGGCGATGCTTCAGAGCCAATATCTCTTCCAGAGGGATCCAAATAGACTGGAGCACTGAGTAACTATCAGTGGCATGAAACTTTAATGAGAACAAATACAGATTCTGCCCCTGGGATGCAGTAAAACTGGGCACAAGCATCGGCTGGGAGAGGAGTGTGTGTAGAGCAGCCCTGCAGAAAGGGATCTGGGGGTGCTGGTCTGCAGCAGCTCAGGGCGAATCAGCAGTGTGTGCCCGGGCAGCCAGGAGGGCAAACCCCATCCCGGGCTGCATCAGACACAGCATCACCAGCTGTGACTGGGATCATCCTGCTGGATTCAGCCCTGCTGCGGCCTCACCCTGAGTCCTGTGTGCAGTGCTGGGCCCCACAGCCTGAGGAGGGTGGGAAGGGCCCTGAGTGGTCCAGAGGAGGACAACAGAGCTGGTGGAAGGGCTGGAAGGCACATCCTGTGAGGAGCGGCTGAGGGCTCTGGGTTTGTCTGGTCTGGAGAGAAGGAGGCTCAGGGGTGACCTCATTGCTCGGTACAGCCCCCTGAGGAGGGGACCTGGAGAGGGAGGGTCTGACCTCCTCTGCCCTGGACATTAGGCAGCATTTCCCTACTGACAGAATGATAAAACACTGTCACAGTGATTTGATTCCTAGAAAGGTGTTTGATGCCCCGTGCCTGTCAGTGCATCTGGACAATGCCCTTCACATTGGGCTTTAACTCCTAGTTGGTCCTGAGGTGGTCAGGCAGCTAAATTATATGATTGCTTTAAGTCCTTTCCAACTTAACTGTTCTATCCTGGGCTAGGCTAGTTTATGCTACTTCATCAGATGCATTTCTGTTCATTAAAAACCAGTAATTTTCATGTATCTTTTGATTTTGCATGTTTATTTAACACCTGCATTTCAAAAGGTATTTGTAAAACAGCATGAAGATAGCAAGGATTCTATCAATAAATAATCGAGATTTTTTTGCCAAATATGAGGAACAGTCTGTGTAATCTTTGCCACATAGATGGAAGAGAAATCATAAAATGTATCCTGCTGGCTCCAGAAATTCCTGTTTGCTACATTAGAGTTAAATTTCATCAATGGACAGCACATCATAGACATATATTATAGCACCAACAACTTTCTGCCCATGTCTGCTATACTTGTTGCTATAAATCTCAAAAGAACAACTAAGGATTGAGCTGAGATCTCTGAACTGAAATAATGAAAATTTCAATGCATAAAATGATATGTATTTTTACTGCAGTATAATCAGGCTTGACCCAGATCTGCAAACAGTTGTAAAAAAATCAATTTACTCACATGAGCTCCTATGAGTTGGTTCTACCATTGAGCTCAATGAAACTGCTGATACACTTCTGTTCTTTCATGTCAGAATTGGAAATAAGCATATTACTTGAATATTATCACCTGATCTAGAAAATAGCTAGAAATAAAAATGAGACATTTATGCCAGACATTTCAGCATTGCTGGTTTGAAAAGCAAGGAACATGAATGGTTTGTTCATCACTCCATAAAGAGTATGTTTTCAAGTGATTAAACTGTATTCTTCTAAGTGTTATATTTATGCAACTGTGCAGTGGATAAATACAGAACACAAGATATGTTACACATTGCATGTACACCAAAAGCTGTTCCTGGGGGGAAATGCACATTGAATAGGAGGCACAAGTGTGGAACGTAGGGTTTGTGTTTGTCATTAGTAGAAGCATCTATTTCTCCACATATGTTTATGCCTAATCAATATTCTCAGGTACAGAATGAATGCAGTACATGTCTCTTTCCCAGCTCATCCACTCCAAACACATTCTGAGGCCTTGTCCCCAGGCAGCCCTCTGCACATTTGATTTACATGTGTTAGCAGTCCCTGCAGGGTGAAGCAACTCCTAAGGACCAGCCACTGCTCCTACTCTGCTTGAGTCAGTGGGGGTCACTTAGGGGTTCAGTCACAGCAGCAACAAACCTGAGGACTCCCTTGCCTACAGCTTGTCACAATCCCAGCAGTGTAGCTACAAATGTCCTTATTTTCTCTCTGATTTTCACACAGGTTACCTAACTCATGTTAAAGAACACGCTTTCACCCTTCCTACAATGATAATTTTTTGCCACTGGAAACAAGTGCTTATCTGATATACAGGGATCTTAGCAACACAGAAGTACTATTTGGTACAGGCACAGGTCAGTGAGTAAGACTTGGTTTCCAAGATTTCCAAGTCCTGTAATCTGCAAAAAATGACAAATCCATATTTCTTGTCGCACCCTGGTTTATGGTTATGCATTCTGGGGGGGTCTTGTGGGCTGCTGAGTGAAGAGCTGAGCCATCAGCTTAGTGTCAATTTGTTTCTCTTGATGAACAGCCGGACACTGTTACCTGCTGCACTTGCTTGGTCAGTCTGTAAAGCATCCTTGTTTGACCTTTCAGCTCAGGCAGACAGTGTGATCATGGGGTGTCCTGTGCAGGGCCAGGAGTTGGATTTGATAATTCTCATCAATCCTGTCCAACTCAGCTTATTCTAGGATTCTATGATTCTGTGATTCTATTTACTCAGTATTAGGTTGGATCTTGCTGACTTCCAATCTGCTAATGATAAATTAGAAGTGCTCTCTCTAATGATAAATTCATTTAAGTCTTCAAGAAGAGGTTTCTCTTCCTATGGCTTCTCAGACAAGCTAGTGAGTGGATCAGCCATTGATGTTTAAGCTTGGATGAGAAGCAATCATACCTCCTTCTTTATTTTGTAGACCATGTGTTCTTTCTAAGTGCTGAACAAACAGCTCAAAAGTTGTATTATCTGCTCTTGCTCTAAGTTACATTATCTGCTCTTGCTCTTGTACCTGGTTGATGGGGAAATGGGAACAGAAGGCAAAAATGGCAGCTTTTCCCAGTACTCCCTACTTAGGGAGAAGGTGGAGGAGCAGACCAGCAAGTCAGCCCTCCTGCTTCTCCCACAGAGCCCATAGCACGGAATTTCCTCTTTTATGATAAGCATTGCTAATAACCACAAAGCTGCACACTGGACCAGTGGCTCCTCAGGGAAGGATTCAGTATTACCCCTGCTTATGGAATGGGAAGAAGAAGTGCAGAGAGGTGAAGCACCTGCCCCAAGCCACCCAGAGGAGTGAGGAAAGCTTCAAGACAAACACTGTTTGCCTCTCCTCAGCTCCATCCTCCAAGGAGCCTATGACTTCTAAGGAGACTCATGGCTCAGAAAGTCAAATGTCTTCAAATTAACAAAAATAATGGCAATCTACCTAGAGCCAAACTTTGCTGGGCTTATGTGCTTATGTCCTGACTTCACCAAACCTGGGAGTTCAATGAAAAGCTGCCATCCATGCTTTCATGGAGGGTTATGTCTCCTTTTTCCAGGTCACTGGGTCAGGGAATTACAGAATGGTTTCCGCTGGGAAAAAACTTCAAAGATACTACTCCAACACCTCTGCCATGGGCAGAGGCACCTTCAACTAGAATAGGTTGCTCAGGACCCCATCCAGCCTGGCTGCAAACACTTCCAGGGTTGGGAAATCCACTGCTGCTCTGGGCAGCCTAT